GTGGGGGTGAGTAGGAGTGGGTGTGAGTCAGTGAGTGCGGGTAAGTAGGGGTGAGCAGGAGGTACGCAGGGGTGAGTGAGGGGCAGGGGGATGAGGGGGTGGACAAAGAGGAGATGACCCTGGCAAAGCACTGTGTGGGTGCACAGATGCAGACGCACACCCACACCCACCTGCGTGTTTCCCCCAGTGGTCTCCTGTACCAGAGTCCGAGACATGGAGCAGCTGATGGGGAAACACTGGAAGATGCCCCCGATGAGGTTACTGAGCCCAAGGGCCACCAGCTCCTGAGGGGAGGGGTGCAGGTGTGAGGACACTTCCCTAGCAGTGCCTGGTCATTGTCCCACTTTGTCTCAGCCTACGCATCCCCAACCCCCATCCCCAGTCAATGGCACCCAAAGACTTGGCTGCTATCCCCATGTGTCCCCCACACGGCCCTGGCACACCTGTGTCCCACCTGACCCTCCATTCCCCCAGTCCCTGGCTGTCCCCTCCATATCTTGTACTCCCCAGACCTGGCTGCTGTCCACCCGGTAGCCATGCCTCAGGGCGAAGATCTTCCCCAGCGAGATGGCAATGGCGAACCCAACCACAGCAATGGCGAAGGCATTTCCCACAAGCTTTGCGAACAGCTCAAGGCTGGGAGCCACTGGGGGCACCAATCTGTGGGAGGCATCTGTGAGGCCAAAGGACGGCCCTGGCCTTGGCCATCTAACCCTCCCTGACCTGACAGGGGACCAGAGCTCACCCTGTAGGGATGACGCCCACAACATCCACCCCAAATCTCTGCTTCAGGTCCACACCATAAGAGATGCCTGTGGCTCCTATGAGCTGGGGGGAGACAGCAGAGTCAAGGGAGGGAGGTGCTGGTATCATCCATCTGCAGGGCGATGGATAAACCACTCTGGGGGTGAGGAGGGAGACGCTGGAGAAAAATCTTCAGAGGATTGGGGAGAAGTCGTCAATAGGGTGAGAGACAGACATGATTATTTTGGGGGAGGGGGAAATGCTGTCATGGAGCAGAGGGAGATACTAACATGGGGGCTTTCTGCTGGGGTGCCCCTTAACCCCCAGGAGCACTGGCAGGGCCCACCCCAGCTGGCCCTCAAATACCTGAGGGCTGCTACATGGCAGGGATATACCCTCACTTGCCCTTCTCCCGGCCACTGCGCCCTGGCCCCCTAACCGTGAGCAGTTCCCCAGGCAGTGGTAGGGGCAGGTACCGCCGCAGCTTGTCATTCAACAGCTTCAACGCCACAAGTACCACAGCCGCCACAACCGCAGTGATGACGGTGCCAACCACACTCTGGGGCAGCTTCCAGCAGACCTCCAGTACTGTCTGGTGGAGAGGCAGGGGTCACAGCCAGCACTCAAGGTTGTGGGCACACCCACCTGTCCCGCCTCCCACCCTTACTCACATAGATGAGGGACAGTGGCCCAGAGCGGCTGCTCAGCTGAAGGCCAAACACATACTTGAGCTGCGATATAAAGACCTGCACAGACGCAGCCGTGGTATAGCCACGTACCAGAGGTTCTGACAGGTAGGTGACCACAAAGCCGAAGTGGACCAGGCCCAGCCCCACCTGTGGGAAGCAAGCGACATTCGGGGGTGGGGGATGCTGAGGGTGGCTGGAGTACAGCCCAGGGCAGATGGGATCAGAGGGGGATGAGTGAACAAGAGTGATGGTCAGACACCCAAAGGAACTGGTGGGAGGCGGGCACAGAGGGAGTGGGGGGACCACTGGGGTTCACTCACTCCTGACTGCCCCGCACCTGGAAGAGGCCGACTAGGACACTGAGTGTGGAGGCCAGCTGCACTCGGGCAGCGTCTCTGGCCGCCTCGTTGACTGTGGTGTTTGAGTCCTGAAAGAAGGCCTCATCTGGGGCCAAGGATTCTGTCACACTGCCCACCATCACAGACATGACAGCAAAGGTCCCTGCAGGAACAGGGCAGAGCAGCTCTGAAGGGGAGGAGACACTGCCCTGCCCTGGAGCCTTGGTCTTAAGGGAGAGGCCAGGAGACATCCAGTTCTGGGAACAATACCCTCAGACTATGGCTGTGCCAACAGAGGGAGTTCTGGTAGTCAGCTACAGCCAGGGTCAGGAGCGGACCTTGAACTCAAAGGCCCTTGAGGATGGCTAGGAATGTTGGTACCAAACACAGGGGGCAGTGCCCAATGACCCACTTGTATCCACTCGCCCCAGGACCGCTCCTCTCGTGAAGGGTAGAATGAGGAAGGAGACATGACCTGCCTCATGTTGGTCAGGCCTTTGCCAGGGTCCTGGCCCCTAGAGCTGCCCCACCCACCCACATCTTCCTGGAGCCAGGGCCTCGAGGTAGCCTGAATCTGTGGTCCCATGGTCAGTGGCCCAGTCCTGCCTGGGGATGACCCTTGGGCTAACCTCCTAGCCACCCAGCACCAATGCCGCCGTCTTCCCCTAGATTCCCTGCCCTGCTCAGCCCTACTTCACCCTGTCTTCCATGGTGGATGTGGGCACCCTCCTACAGGGCCCGGCCTGCTCCACTCACCCACAGAGATGTGCCGGGAAGTGCCGAACAGGAAGTAGATGAAGACTGGGTAGAAGGAGCTGTAGAGGCCGAACACAGGAGGCAGTCCAGCCAGGAGGGCATAGGCCAGGCCTGGGGTGAAATGGCAGCAATGTAGGCCTGGAGGCCAGGCCTTGAAGGGTTGGGGGATCCCAGCCCTGGGTCAGGGGCCGTAGTTCCAGAGGAAGAGGTCTGGACTCCAGGGTTAGGGGGTCACAGACTACAGGGCTTCCAGACCTGGGCCTTGAAGGGTTGGGTTCACCACCCAAGGGTCAAGGGTTAAAGCCTTCAGGTCAGGGGTGGCTCACCCTGTGGTAACTGCATGATGGCCACACTCAGGCCAGATAGCAGGTCACCCAGGAGCCAGTCACGCACACGGTATCGGGGTAGCCAGGCCAAAATTGGGAGGTATTGGAACAGTACGGCGCGGGCCCGAGCTTGGGAGCACCTGGGGACATGAGGGGTAAGCATCAGGAACAGGAGCTAGCTGACAATGCCAGAGCCCCTAGCCCCCATCCTTGGCCTTACTGAAACCAGCTCCGCCACTGGTGGGTCGGAGGCACTGAGCCCCGGTGCCCCAGCTCCTCCAGCTGCTCCTGGTTCAGCAGCGGCCGCTCCACATGGTAGTCTCGTCTCGGCAGCTCCATTGCCTGCGTTGCAGACAGCAGTGCCTGTGTGTCCCTCGGTCTAGGGGGTGGCGAGACGAGAAACACTATGAGGGGACCCCTGGCCCAGCCTCCCTGCACCCCTCCACCTGGGACCATGGAAGGGCCCATCTGACTTTTCCCGGCCCTGAGGTACAAAGAGGTCCTGGCCTCACTTGCACTCTGTGGGCCCCGTGCCCATACCCAAGCAAGAGCAGTCCCTGGACTTTGGCTGGTGGAAGTCTCTTGCTGGGCCAAAGTCTCCCATGAGGAGACAGCAAGATGAGCACAAGCTGCACTTCCAACCCAGGTGTGGCTGCCCAGCCCTGAGTGCTCTATCAGCCCAGACCCCTGGCTGACTGCCTCTTCCAGCCCATTTCCTTCCCCCAGCCAATCCCTGGCCGGTCTCTGAGTCTTTATCCAGCTGCCCCAAGAGCCCAGTGCTAGCTGGCTGAGAGCACACCCAGAGAAAAGGATCCAGCAAGTCCTAGGTGCAGTTCTTCGGGCAACCCTCTCTCCAAGTCTCAGGCCTCCATGAGACCCTCTTCTCTAAGGGAAGGAAAACGTTGGAGTCTAGGTTAGTATACAAGCTCAGGCCTAGTGTGGGAAAGCCAAGGGATGGCTCTCACCTTCAGGGAGCTCTGAGAAGGGGGAGGAATCTCACGTTGAAGGGGAGGCTCTCATCTGGAGGGAGAGGCTCCCACCTGAAAGGGGAGGGGATCTCACCTGAGGGGAAGCTCTCATCTACTCCCAAGGCTCCTGCCTAATCGGGAGGCTTCCACCTGGAGGAGGAGGCTCCCGTGAAGTAGGGGAAAGATCTCACTGGGGAACAGGAGATCTGGTGGGGAGGGGAATCTTACCTGGGGGAGGCTCTCACCTGGAGGGTGAGGCTCCCACCTGGGAAGAGGAGATTTCAATAGGGGGATCTACCTGGGGAAGGAAGCTCTCACCAGACTGGAAATCTTTCACCTGCCAGGAAAGTTCTGATTTGGGGGAAATCTCTCATCTAGGGGGAATCTCTTGCCTAGGGGGAAACTCTCTCATCTGGGGATAGGAGATAGCAGGGTGAGTGATTTTACCTGGGGGAAGTTCTCACCTGCTGGGGAAGCTTTCAATTGCCAGGCAAGTTCTGACCTGGGGGGAAGCTCTTTCTTGGGGGGAGGCTCCCACCTCAGGGGCAGGAACTCACCTGGGAAAGGACTCTAACCTGAACGTCCCGTTTGGAAGAGGGAGTGGAGCGAATGCAAAGATCCTTAGAGACTCCTGGCACCGATGTCTCTGGAGATCTTTGAGCCCCCTCGCCCCTCCTCCGTGAGTCACTCAGGTCTTCTTAAAGTGCTCCCTCCCCCCACCGCAGAACCTGGGCTGGGAGGGAGGAGCCTAGGTCCCTGGCCCCTCCTAAGAGGCCAAAGGGACCCAAAGGGCTGGCACGCTCAGTCCGGTGTCAGTAGTGCCGCTAGTTGAACTCCGGCCCCTGCCTGGGACTTCTAGCAGGGATCGCCCGCCCCCATCGCACCCCAGCCGGAGCGCCTCCGGGGCCGGGGCGTCTCCATACGCAGCCGCTTCCCTGCGGTCCCCGGCCGGCCCTCGCGAGGCGCTCGAGCGGTTTTCCGCACAGCCCACAGAGGCTGGGGTCCGGCCGGCTCCCGCTCCATCCCTCGCCGCGGAGGGGCAGCCGCCTGGAGAAAATCGGCAAAACGGTAAACCGAGGCCCCGCAGGCGGCAAATCCCTGGTCCGGACTTGGTGATCTCCGTCTGAGCTGACCCAGGCCGGGGGCCCGCGCGGGGGTCACGGGCAGGTCAGCGCCTTGCGTACACGCACGCAAACGCGGACACGCGAGACCGGGGCCGTGCTCGCACTCACCCCGACGCTTCTGATAACCCCATGGCTGGCTAGCGGCCCAGCAGCTGCCGGTTCTTCCGCTCCGGCCAGAGGCAGCTACAGATGGGAAGCCGGCGAGGCCAGCGGCGCGCTCCCGGCAGCCAATCACCGGACAGGACGGGGAAGGCTTGGGCCAATCAGCGTGCTGGGGGCGCATCCACGTGAGGCTTTCTACGCGAGTTAACCCCTTTCTCCCCGCGTCTTGGTTCTTATTCCCCCGGTGACTCGCGGAGCCCGGTGGGACTGCAGAGCTGACGAGGCCTCTAGCTGAACGTAGTAGCCGCGCCCCATGGAGAAGGGTCGCTGTGGGATGAGAAGTGAAAACCCTCATGTGGGCAGGAGGCCTGGGGACACAGCTGGTGACCGGAGTCTTAGCTTTCTGGAGGGGACCTGGATCCCTGGGGGCCTCTCATGCCTCTAGCTGAGGGCGCTACCCCCAGGCTTTCCCTCTGAACGAGGCAAGTCTTTGAGATCGCCCGCTGATGATCACCAAGGCTTCCCTCCGACTCTTGGCCACCCAGGCCAGAAATGCGGCTGTGATGTCCCCCTTCCCACACCAAGCTCAGCTGGGGCCTCACGCCAAAGGAAACATCCTGGGCCTCAGCGATGAGCCAGCCAGCTCCTAGTCAGAAGGGATGTAGGGAGCAGTGTTGTCAGGGCGCTGCAAGGCCAGTTCTACAGGTGGTTTGACCCCTGGCCAGGGGGCTTCAGGCCCTGAGGCTCAGGAAGTCCTCATGCCACTGCCTTGATCAAGCAGGGGATTTCCCTTGGCACCCTACTCTCAGCACCTGTGCTCACACTTCTTAATCACAAGGCAAGGGGCCAGAATTCAGAGTCAAAGAGATGGAAATCCAGAAATCTCTGATGAAATGGGCTAAAAATAAGTCGATATTGGGGGCGGGAGGAGCCTAAGAGTCCTCCTAAAGGTCAATCTGGTCTGAATCATTCACTGCCACTCCCTGTAATCCCCCAAACAGAAAGAGGCAGCAACCATTTTCTATAGAAGTTTATTCCCAAAACAGAGCGCGGCTTCACGGAACAATTTACACAGACGGGGGAAGGAGGCCGCTCAGCTGGAGAGGGGGGAGACCCCCAGAGAGGGGCATCTACAGAACCTAGGACATAGCGAAAACACTCCAGGCCCCAGCAGGTCCCTCAGCCCTTCAAGGGCTGGGGTCATTCTAGGTAGAGATCCGGGGTTCATGGCTGGCGGGATTTGGCACCAGTCAGGGAAGTAGAACTTCTAATCTCCTTGGAAACTGCCTTCCAAGAGTTGGGTGGGGCGGTCTGCAAAGACCACTCCCCAACCCTGCACCACCGTTTCCAGTGGTAAGAGAACACCCACTCTCCAGGTCTTCCGGGGTCTGCTGTTTTGATGGGGGACTCAGGGCTGGCCTGAGGGAACTGGGGGTTAGAAGCCCCCTGGAGATGGCCAGGTCCAGGGTCCTCACAGGTGGCTCCTCCAAGTCCCTCTCCCACTTACCCTACTTTTCATTTGTAAACAAAGGAAAAGAAATTCTCAACCGTAAACAAAGTGTAAAAGTTCAAAGTTTCAAGTTGTAAACAAAGTAAAAAAAATTTTAAATCTTGATCTGTAAACAAGTAACAAAATTTAAAAGTCCCCAATTCTGGACATCAAAGTAACAAAGGTGAGAGTTTTGTGAACAAGGTCCTAACAGTCATTTTCACTTTTTTAAGGGAAGAAAGGAGGGGTGGAACTGAGTCACTTCCGCCAGCCCCAGGTACCCGGGCACCAGGGAGGTTCCTGTAAACGTGGGAGGCGGTAGCACCTACATTCTGAGTCTTGAGATGCCTTGTTTCTGCTCCCTTTGCTCTCCTTCCCACCCTACCCACCAGAATGAATTCTAGCAGGGGTCAGTGTTAGGGAATGAAATGGCACCACAGACAACTTCTGCTCACAGCCGGGGCAGAGGTAGGCAAATGGTGCCCTCCACCCACCCTCTGCAGGAATGTCTGAATAGAGGCCTGAGCCCCTCCCTGAGGGAGGAAGGGAAGCCCTGCTCTGTAAACACGACCTCTGCTGCCAGCACCCCACAGCATCAGTCCTAGGTCATAAGGCAGTAAGTGGCAGGGACTCCACGTAATAAACACACACGTCCACGCGGAGGGGTGCGCAAGAGGTCAGAGGATTCCCGTCTCCAAGAGCAACCCCGGCCCCACAAGTTTGGCCCTTGGGACATTTGAGAAAAAGCAAAGATCAGTTCTGCACAGCTGGGCCCTGACAATATTCAGATCAACCTGGGGGAGGGTGTGCATCTGCCCCTGCTGTCTGACTTCACCCCAGTGAGATGAGAGAAAACGGTGTATGGTTTGCCAAGGGCCCAAATGGGGCCAAGCTCTGTACCTCTTTCGCTCTGTCTCCCCTGCACCAGCCCAGCCTCAAACCCCCAGGGTGGACAGAAAAGTTGAAAAATAACATAAGCATATCTCTCTGGTTACAAAGGTACAAAACGTATAAAAGTCCTCCCTTCTGTCCCCCGCCCACACCTGTCACGCTCACAGGCACAGATGCGCGCGGGCTCTCAGCCCTGCCGCCACAGGGAGAGCTGGGGGGCAGGGCACTGCCTAGGGATCAGCTCAAGTCCTCCATTGCCCTTGGCTCTTCCTCATCGGCACCATCTGCTCCTCAGGAGTGACCCTCACTTCTGGCAACTCTGCAGAATTGAAGTGGAGAGCAAAGGTCACTGCTGAGAGAACTCAGTCAGATGGCTCTGGTTTCCCCTAGCTCGGACCCAGCCTGGTCCACCTCCCTGCACCCCCCCACATCACCCTTGCCTCTCTGCTCTATCTCAGGGTGCTGCCAGCCCCTCTATGTCTACTCCCAGGTTCTCGGAGTCCTCACCCATTCTGGACTCCCAGACTCATCAGCAAGAGCCCTCAGCCACCTAGGTCTCTTTTCTCTAAGCACTTAGCAAGCACCTACTATGTACAGATACTCTGTTAAGCACTTGACAGATACTGTCTCATAAATCTCCATATCACAGAGTTTGATTACAGACCCATTTTATAGCTGAGGAAACTGAGGCTCAGAGAAGTCAAGCAACCTGTCCAAGATCGCACAGCTAAGGCGATGAGAAGCAGAGCTGAAACTCAGACTGTGTGACCCCAGAGCATGAACCCCTGCCCAACCCTCCGTCTGCCTCCCACATAGCCAGACCCCAAAGATAGGCTGCAGGGGTCACAGGTGGTGGGCCAGCTTTCTTTCATCCTTATCCTCTGGAATCCCTCCAGAGCCACAGGCCCTAGGCCCCCTGCCCCTCCCTCCTCCTTTTGTCCTCACCCAATCCTGGGTCCTGCTCAGGCTTTGTTGGCTTCCCCTGTCCCACTCCAAGGGGCCCCTTCCCCCCAAAGCCTTCTCTCAACTCTACAGATCCCCACAGCCTGACCCAGCTTGTTCCTCCTTCTTGAAACTCAGCTCTCCTTTTGGCTTCCAAGACCTGGAAACTCCTGATTCCTCCTTGCTCTCCTGTCATTTCTTCTCTGACTCCTTCAGGGGTACCCCCATCTCTTAAACAGTGGTGTGCTTGGCCTCCCTGGGGCGTTCTTGAAGACACCCTCTCCTGAGCCCAGGCCTGTGTATCCACCTGCTTCCCAGGTATGTCTGCCCACAGATGCCCCACAGGCACCTGAGGTGCACTAGGCCCCAACTCAATTCCTGGGTGCCCCACCCACAGCACCCACAGGCAGAAAGAACTTACTATTGACTAAATAACTGAGTGAATGAATGATTTACCTTCTGACAAAGCCGAGCTCTTCAGCCTCTTGGCATCACTTCCGGCCCCTTCTTATCCCATACTACCTTCTAAGCAAAGCCTCCCAAGCCAAGCCTCTTCCTCCCTGCCCCTGGCATGTACCAGGCTACCTCCCACTTCCGGCCTTGGCTCCTGCCCTCCTCTTCTACTCAAGCCCTTCGGAAGGCATCAGTCTCTCTTCCTTTGTCTAAGAGCTCTAGCAAGTCCCTGCTGGTCGCGTCCCCACTCTCTGCCAGATTTCTGCCCCAACCTGTGGCTCCCTGACTGTGCTGAGGCTGGAGAGCCCACACTTGTCTGCCAACCCGCGCCTGCTCTGTTGGAACACAGGGCAGGATACATGGGAGCTTCCCCTAAATGTGAGGGTGTGAGCAGGTGACACGACCCTGCTTACTCTGAGTCCGCTGACAGCTCTGAGATGCTGTGGGACGTGGCAGAGCGTGGTGTGGAGGGCCCAAGAGCAGAGGTGGTGGCAGAAGGCGTGGCAGTGGCGTGGGGGCCTGAGGGTGTGCTTGAGGACTGCACAGAGGAGAGGGCCGAGGAGTTGAAGGAGGCGAGGATGGAGGAGAGAATGTCCAGCTGCTCTGTGGAGGGGCCATGGCTGGGGCCAGAGGCTGGGTCCTCCCTGGCTCGGAGCAGCTGTGGGGGCGGCCCAAGGCCTTCCCGTGAGGGGTGCCGGCTAGGCACCTGGTCCAGCCGCTCCCGTGAGTTCAATCTCCTGGACAGAGAGTCCAGGGGCCGAGATGGCAAGAGGGGGTCCCTTGTGAGTTGCCGCTGGGGAGACAAGGGCAGAGATGGGGGCTGCGGGTCAGGGTCCTGGGCACTGCGGGGAGGGGGCAGTGTGCTCAGCCACTCGCGGGGTGCTCCTAGGTCCAGCGCATCCCGTGACCCGAAGCGGCTGGCCGTGGCAGCAGGGTAGTCCCGCGGCGGCTGCCTCCGCGGCAGAGTGCTGCCCCGATCCCTGGGCTCCAGGCGGCCTGGTGCAGCGTCCAGGCGTTCCTGGGAACCCGGCCGGCTGAGGGGATGCAGAATGGGGGCAGGGGCCTCCTCCAGTCGCTCACGGCTCAGTTGCCGCCGGAGGAGTAGGTCTAGCTGTTCTCGGGAGGAGTAGCGGCTGGCTGGCTGGGAAAGGCTGCCTGTGCCGCCACCAGCATAGATGCGGCCGTAGGAGGCGGCTGGCACAGCACGGTGGCCCAAGGTGGCTGCACGGCACCAGGACAGCTCAGGGACGCCTCTGGTCTGTGGAACCAGTGGGTACTGCAGCCGGTTCTTCAG